GCCTTGGCAGATTCTGGATCTGGTTTACCTGGAGCCTTGGCAGATTCTGGATCTGGTTTACCTGGGGCCTTGGCAGATTCTGGATCTGGTTTACCTGGGGCCTTGGCAGATTCTGGATCTGGTTTACCTTGCAGTCGCTGGATTTAACAGCATGGCTGTTGAAGTCTAAGCTTCTCTGGGGCATCTCTAAATCTGTAATTCTATATGTGAAAAGCAAGGAAGGCTATGTATCATACAGTCTATCATCAGATGTGGAATTCATAATCTACTTTTATATTTTCGATTCGGTTTCAGAGAGCCTCTCACTTCTTGCTTAAGACCTTTTTGTACAAGGGGAAGCCTATGTAACTCCCCTTTTTGTTCCCCTGTGACTCCATGGGATCTTATTCTAGTTTTGACTGTGCAGAAACCACTGTTTAAATCCATTAGATACATTCCTATCTCTACTCTCATCCAAAAAGTGTTTTTTTCTTGTCGCCTTCACCTCTGCGAGGTGCCTGACTAAAATGACAACCTTCTATACAAAAGCACTCTATATTCCCCTTAGTGATAGGCATAGCTACTTTAATTTATACTCTCAATATGAATTCATGCTGAACATTTCATATTTAATGTATCATCATCATACTGATTTTTGTTTCAGGAACCCCTTCAGCACAAACTGTGTCTGTTTCCAAGGTTGGTGGGACACCGGTGTCTTTGGCAGGTCAGCGGTTTACAGTTCAGATCCCGACTTCACAGGCAACAGTGAAAACAGGTTAGCAAATTTCTTACACTTCTTTTCATAGTGATTAAAGGAGAACTATGAGGTGAGTGCTTTTCACTCACCTCATCTTTCTAGCCGACCTGTGACAATGAGACTGTCACAGGTCGGCTCAGTAGATCGGGAGGTGAGCGAACACATACCGGCGTTCGCTCACCTCTCGATCCTGTCACGGCTCTCTGCCGTGACAGGGGAGGGACTGGATTCCCCCCTCTCCGATCCGCCAGCGCTGACTGGCGGAAAGTACGGGGGAGGGGGCGGGTACAGCTGGCTCTGCCTCTAGATAGGCAGAGCCAGCTGTCAGTCACGCAGCTGGGCGGATCCCGGCACAATTGTCGGGATCCGCTTCAGCTGCCACGTCTCAGAGCAGCAGCTCGCGGTATACTGAGCCTAGGGTGACGGGAGGACACTAGTTTGTGCCCTCCCGTTACCCTAAGGAGAACTATGGGGAAAAGCCTTAACCCCATAGTTCTCCTTTTAAGCTATTCCTGCTTTTGGTTATTAAAAGGCTTCTTCACTTACAAGCAGTTTTCATCTACTTTAATAAATGCAAATTGCATGATAGTTAGAGCCTGTTCTAGACAGCGGCTTATTAATTAGAGTACATCGTTATAATTAGAGATCCACTGCAAATAAAAAATACATTAAAACATGCAGAGCTTGCTGTGGACCTAAGGTAGAATACAAATCCACATACACAACATTACAAGATTATCCGAAGGATTTAATAGTCTCACAAATCAGAGACTAAAGACTTAGGCTTCTAAGCATCCAGATTTAATGATGACTGTGTGAGAACTTAATCCAGAATTAACTTGAAATGGACACCAAGTAGGAGCAGATTTGTTCACTAACAGTGTTTTACTGAAAAACCCATTTGTAGTTAGATGTGACATGAAAGACAGCCATC